AAGTCAGTGTTAATACTGCGGTTCTAGAATGAATACGACAAAATTTTTGTTTATGATGAGCATCTGGACAATGTACCAATCACCAGAAGAAAAATATAATTTTGAAATACAGAGTAAATATTTAAAAATTCAAATGAAATTAGAATGCATTTGGTAAATATTTAAGTTGAGTAATCTGAAGTTTTATATGTATTAAAAAAATAGCGCGTCCTGTAAACCTAGTAAATCCACGAACGTTTCTTCTCCTTTTACGGTTTCATTTAAAATCAATTAAACCGCTTTTTCGCTTTAACAATGCCATTTAAGGTACCCTAGAGTTGGCAATCATCCCAAAGCATCGATTTTACGTAATTATAGATGACGGTTTGGAATGGTCCTACAATTGGAACTTCCGTCCATAATTACATCACGTTCATTAGCTGCAAATTTCTATGAAAAACCGAGTCCTTACAAGGGGAAAGTCCCATTTTCAGAAAGTTATTCAAGGAAGGTATCTGTGGCTTGCAGGATCAGTTTAACTTGACAACAAATTGTAAAGGGKTTGCGCTAAGAAGTGACGCAGAGATAGATTTCACTGGCCATATCAATCTCCTTCAAGTAAGATCCACGAAACTGTGTAAAGGATAACAGAGAAGACGCGTCAGAATTTTTTAAACTCCTTAAAAATAAACGAGATTTGGAGTTTGACTGTTAAGGAAATATTTAATCGATTCAATTTAATGAAAAAAATGTTTCAGAAACTTCTTCCCTACTAAATTAAATAATTACATTAAAAATAAATAACTAATTTAAATTGGATAATTTAATTAAAACACTTGTTGATTCAGCATAATATTTACGAAGCCAGGAATAAAATTTATTCAAACAGATAACTGAACTTGCTTTAGCGCTCTTTCTTTATATTAAATTATTAATTAAATTAAAAGATAAACAATTGTTGACTGTGCTATTGCTTTAACAAAATGAATATTTTGTACTAACTTTTGGTAATATTTGCAAGTAACGGAAATGTCTGTCACACCAAATTTTTGGTTTGTGTCAAGATTCGTCCAAGAACAACACGTCAAGCAATAAATTTAAAAAATGTATATTTCACAACTATAAACTTTTTAAATCAACATAAAATCGTTTTTACGACTTCAAAATTTTGTGCARACATAAGGTAATATTTAACAATACGTCGTAAAATGTAATTCAACAAAAAGTAGATTTTGCTTGATTAATTAGAAATTGGAGGGTAAGAATTTGACACTTACAAGTCAGGTTTGTAATGACATCTTAATATTTCCTCTTCTTTGATGTTCTAGATATAAGWAGTGTGCATAAAGCCCAAATAATGTTTTGATTATATTTAATTTAACAAACTTACCGTTTACTATTAGTTAGACGTTAGCTGCTTGMAGTTTATTCAAATAAAATAGCTTAAACTTAACACACATTACGGACGCGCACCAGATCACAAAGTTCCGCAAACTGATCGAAAATCATTCATGTTTCAGTTATTAATAGCTAAAGAACTATTTACAGCAAATGTTATTTATTTTTYCACATAATTTCATTCGGACTTAACAGCTTTATTAATTATAGTTAAAAATTAAAATCTATTTACAAATTTACATCGACACAAGTCTGCACAATAACGTTACAACTGTTTACATATTTTATGACTAATTAATTCTAACATAATATTTTATAAAATGTTGAAATAATTTACACACACTGGTAAAACATACAAAAATAAATAGAAACTTGACTAGCATGAAATTTCAGTCCTCGAAAGTTGCTGAAATTTAGTTATAAGAACACATATTGGGCTAATTGTACTTACACACAATTCTTTTAGAATCCATTAAATCACACATAATTACTTTTCAAGAATTATTAGCTTGTATTTCCACTAAATTGTGATTAATTTCTCTCCTTTTCTCCCATCTAATACTGTGATAATTACAGGGATAAAATCGTCTCAGTTCACTTCTCCACAAAGTCTGCAATATTGACAAAGTGCTAAAAATGAGTTGGTGAAACAAATTTAAATTGAGAAACTTACCCCAACTTTGTTAACTTTTTTCATAAATTACCATAATGATTGTTTAAGCGTAAAATTTTAAAGGGGAATAGCTGCTACTTTTACTCTTGTAGGAACAGACACAAGCTGAGGGAAATCGGTATCTATCGACGTACGGTTTTCCATCTGCATCTGCAGTCAAGAGCAATTTTTCGACAAACTTTTGACGACACATTGTTTTAAATTTTTTAACATTGTCGTAAAACTTGCACTTTTGATTCCTCCTGAAAAAAATCAAGTCAATTTGATTAACAACCACATTTAAAAACTTACACACAGACGTCTACGGACACTCCTTGTTTATATCTGTCCAAGTTATAAATAAATTTCAGCTCATTTTTCATATTGTAAGCCACCTTTGGGTACACGACACTTTTACGTGATAAGCAAACATAATTTTGATTATTTTTCTGATCTCGGGTAATTAGAGGCTCGAGTTTCTCCAAATTTCGAAAGAATTGGGAGTACTGCTTTTCATTTTTTAAAACTTGCTGAAATAATTTTTCAGGGTAATTGTCTGTATGTTCACAAAAGGTACGATTTCGGCAATTTGGTCCCACCGTTGCATACAAAAAACCGTTTTCAGTTTCAGCCGAATCCGGAAAAGTCAGCAAGCCCTTAGCATCAACTAAAACTATAAAATATTCAATTTTGCTCATTTTTTATCAAACACAAATTTTAAAACTTATACAATTAAAAAATGTAACTTTAGATAAAACACACCTAACTCTTTGATAGCACATAACATCACAAAAACCCACATTTTTTTAAATATTACACATAAAACGTCCAACTACCACTCTTACAAGAACTACACTGTCCCCTGAACAGGTAGATCTGACACTAATAGCAAAGGATTAAGAGAAGTTAATAACACTTACCGTCCAGTGCCATGAACACCATTTTCTCTAACCGCAGGAGACCGGCTCCGAAGGGCAATTTCATTACAAAATTCCTTCACAAGAATCAACGCTTTGGTATCAAATTTCCCTTCAAGTCTTATACTGTTTACTTGCCTTTTATTTTATTATGAATCTAATAAGAATAAAAGTTTCAGCAAAAAAATCGGAAACTTAAGCAGTATCAAATTTCAGCTTGGGCCATCGAATTTTTATTTGTAAGATTAAGGATAAAGGTTTTAGTAAAAAAATCTCAAACTCAACCATTTATTTTTTTAAATAAATTTTTACTGGTCGAAAATTTTAAGAAAATTAGTTGTCGGCAAACTCTCCTAAACTCGGTTAAAATTAATAATTGGTTCGTATGCGCAAAGACAGGCGGAAGGAAACCAGAATAAATCCCACACAGGTTTGCCGTCTTCATCGGCAACCAAGAGTAAAATATCGCTATACTTTTGAACACATTTCGTCCTAACTGCTGGCGTTTCTCCAAATGATCTACAAGCTGTTTCACCCCTAATCAAAATGTAATAAAAACTATTAAATTGCTCTACTTACACACATTCCTCTGTTTTTACTCCTTGTTTGTACTTATCAAAATTATAAACATATTTCCATTCATTTTTGACGTTGTAAGCCACTCTCGGATATTGAATTTGGATGTGGGAATCGCAGATATAAAACTCAGTTGGTTTGTACTTCCGATTTTTGATCGATTCTTCCTGTGCGACACTTTGCGGAATAAAATATGCCTCTTCGTATGTTGTGTTTTTCAAAATTTCGTAAAATTTATTTACTGGGTAATTCTCAACGTCTTCACAAAACGTTCTATTGCCGCTACATTTCGGAACAAATGTTTCTTGCTCTTCCAGTGAATTTGGGAAGATGATCCCTGCAACAAAAACAATTAACTAAAAGTCCATTTATTTCTTAATAATAAAACTTACTTTTTCTTGATGGAAATCCGTGAATAAWAAACTAGAAAAAAACTATAAGACAACCCACAAAAAGGAAAAAAGAAATAACGTACCACTTTCATAGTCATAAAATAAACATAGACGTAAACACACTTTACCCACATTCTAAATGAAGTTTGATGCGTCCAACTACGAAGAATAATGTTGAATAGAGTCGTAAATAAATGATTAGGAAGGCGACAAGGCACAAATTTTTCATAAGAGGTGGGGGAGAGGTTAATAGTGTATTACCGGGGTGAAAAGAGAAATTAGCAACTATCATTAACATTACATTAACGGTGCTGAATAAAATAATGTATTTTTAGTTACATATAACATTGGACTTGTATTTTACACAATAGAAATCCCCCTGCCGTTTTTGTAATAAAAAGTTCAATCACGTATTCATTTCACATCACATATGTTTTATTTTCCTTTCCCTTTCCCTTTCGATCTTAAGGAAATATCGTCAGCACCAAATCGGGACAAAAAACTTAGATCTTTTCTATACGAGCAACAGCACGCTGACGGTAACTGGAATGTGTCGGGGACGGGATCCCCATTTTCAGATAAAGACATCATCCTCCTCAACATGTATTTCTGCTTACAACTGGTTATATAGCCATTAGCCCTATCTCCGATGAGATCGCAAGCAGATCCCTCCCTACAACACACAATGTTACCAAAATAAAAAACAACTTTCTACACCCTTCACTTTCTACAAATTTCGGTCCTAATCCCTTGGATAAACCCGTCTTCCTCTTGGTTGATTATGACTTTCCATTTGTTGTTTTTATTTATGCCAACTCGAGGGAAAATCGTTTTGGATATACTCGTGCAGATGAACGCCTCGAAGTCSCCGTTCCTGTTGGTGATGCTGTAGCGCTCATCGAGAGGCTCATCTTTGCCAAATAAATCAGTATGGATTCGTTTGCGTTTAAGGACGTTTTTCACGTGGTTGTAAGGATAGGAATCGAAGTCCTCACAAAAAGTATTGCCTTCGGCACACTTGGGAGGGCCGTCGATTTTCGGAACATCGTTGAAAATCACTTGGTACGTGTCGGGAAATATGATGTCTTGATCGCCGAATTCCCCGGCAAGCAGGTCTCCTAAAAACAATTAAAAAAAATATAATAGGAAAGGCATGATCAAATAGAGCATCTTAATTTCTGAATTAAACAAATTTCAATCAAAATATAAGAACACATCATTTATTTAAGTGCAATAGTTCAAGATTTGTTGTTTTTAATAAAATGGTCGTTTGTTATACAAATAAAGAAAAATTGTTCATTATCTGTGAGTGATGTGTTTCTGAACTTTTCTTTGCGTGCATAATACCASTTTTTCTCTTATAAGTCCACTCATAACTTCTTTTAAAATGGAAAATTATAAATGTTCTAATTTTGTTGCTGATTTCTTAATTTGATATTAATTTTGTGTAATTTTGCAAATGAAAATAATAAAATAAAAATTCAATAATAAGCAGTCGTGAAAGAAGTAAAGTAAAATGTGTAAAGTGTAATTATTATTGCATTTTTTCATGTGCCATTGGTGTTTTTAACAAATTGCGAGACCCTCGGCCCTCTATTGACGCCTCGTATCTAAAATGCAGTTTTCTGCACATTGGACCTGAAACTGAAAGATGAAAGTCGTAAAGTGTTGTTTAAGACTCAAGAGCCGCAAATAAAAGAATTTTGAGAAAGAACAAGTTTTGTAGTAAATTAATTTTTTCACCAATAAGAAAAAAAATACAAACTAACCATAATAATGGAGAGTAAAATAAAAAACAACTATATCAAATAATAGTACCATAATAACTATTTCTAAAATAAAGTTGTACTACTTTTATACTGGTATTTAAGCAATAAACAATAACATTATTAATACCTATAAAAGAAACATATTTATTTTTAAAAAGAGCAAAAAATAATGTTCAAAATTTATTTCCTTGAAACTATTTTTCTTTGGGAGTTTATGATGGATTTGTTACGTTTTTTTACATTTGTCGATTTAATATTTGCGTCAATTCTTTCATGTTTCCAAATTATGCAATTTTTGAATTAACCTTGAAATGTGTTTACAGTTCTTAATTCCTTAACGAAGATTGATTCGTACCTCGGAATAAAATCCTGGTTTTAGTTTTATTCTTGTCATCTTTTAGCGCCTCGCCGGTTAGTTGTTTAATAAAAGTGATAGCGCTATCATTAATTCCTTCAGTCACTTTGGAGATGGCTTCAAGCGACTCTTTAAATTGAGGTCGCGTCTCTGCAATATACACCTACAACAATTGCAGTGATTAATTAATGTAAAATGTAATTAAAGCATTATTTGWTAAAATGATTTAGCTGACAACATACAAGAATAAAACATTAGTAGATATAAAAGTAAACGTATAATTTTATAAACTCGATCAACAGGTTTGTTTTTTTTTTTCTAAAAGCAATTTCCGACTTTGTTCCTCGAGTTAGAATATTTCGCGCAATTAGATAAAGTGTGTATCTACTCACCGTTACCGCAAGCACCACTAGAATAAAAAAGTCGCAGCAATATTTCACCATCGTCTTCCACAATTAGCTGCTGAAGACACATTTACAGTTACTTGCACTAGTTTGCAAAGATTGCTTGTTGTGTTTAAATCCTTATTAAATTCAGAGTTCCCATTTAAGCGAGTTTTCAACACAAACTGATACATAGCTATTTGCAATTTTCAAATAACAAATCCGTGTAAAAGCACAACACTACACAGGCCAATAATCATTGCAGCCGCAGTAAATTATAACGAGTAACACATTAGCCGCAAGGTTTAGTCATCGTATTATGATAAATGAAAGTTCGATCAAACTCGTTCTCGTTTTATTTTTAGAATGACACTAATCTGGGGATCTTACACAAATAATTTTAATTTTAATTCTTCCATAATTGGAAATGTGGTGGCCATGATATGGTTCTCCCGCCAAAGCACAACACAAACTGAAACTAGTTTCGTTTCTGTGTTTATAAGTACAAGTTGTATGTGTGGAAATTTACATAATTTACTAGTGAAGCAATTAGGCATCGGTCCGAGTGCGTGAAAGTCTTTGAAATAAACAAATCCGAGTTTTGAGTGAATTTCACGGAACTTATTCATCGGTTTAGCGAAAGCCTGTCAACCATGACCGGGGAATTACCAAAATTTTTACGCATTTCACTCACAATTGTAGCAAATGACGCATTTACAATAAATTACCCTAATCCAAACTAAATAAATAGTAAATAATACAAATATTACAACAAAAGTTTCTGGTGTTTTGATTCTGGAAGCCAATGAGTCAACTTTTAGATAACTCATTATTTAAACGTGTAATTTGTATTGCATAAGTGAGACACTAGTCAGTAGTGCTATATTTTAGGTAAGTTATTATTGGTAAGCTTTTGAAAGATTATTTTTTGGTTTATTAATAATAATTTAATTAATTTATTAGAGTACATTGCTATATGTTAATTA